AATTTCTTGGTAAGATGAAGGTTAGTCATCATCTTGCCTCACCCCCAGCCTACAATAAAGGGATCACGCTCGCATTGCTCTTCAAGACTTCCAACATGAAACAGTTTCATAAACAAATTGACCAACGGATTGTCACGTGATTGACAAATGCCGTGACAAAACATTACAAAACAATATTCTACTAATCTATCCACCTTATTAAAACGGAATAGAATCGATTTTACCGTAGCAAACGGATGCCAAGCTTTGTAAAGATGTCAAACGTGCTCTCAAAAGTATTGTTTAATTGATAATTTCGCACGATTCTGAAAGGCGGCAGGATTTTTTTATTAACTTTCAGTTTTGTTAATAAAAATATTTTAGTTACTTAAGTCAGTGAGTTATATAGCACTAAAATAATATTATTAAATCTATCGGGGCATTCTTCAAGTAAGTAGCTACTTAAGTAGGTTTTTTTAAGGGGGGAAAATCATCGAATGACTACACCCGCCTGGGTGAGGCGGGAGGGAGTGTCAGACTCTTACTGATTAAAATCCACCCCGTTCCTTCTCCTGCACGTCGAGCCGGAGTCCCGGTTACCCGATAGATTCTCCGCGACACTTAAGTAGGTTAGGACTATTTTTATACTCTTATGTAACTGTTCTGAGGCCTCAGTATGAGTTTGTTTTACATTTAAAGTAATCGTAACGAGTACGCGTTCGGCACTCTGATGGGCCTGATCCAATGAACCAACCAATCAGAGCGCCGGACAAGGAAGCCATCTTACACCCAAGAATATAGCATGAACGTAGGTACTAAACACTTCAATGAGTTAAATCTTACAAAACACTTCAATAAGGTCAATCTTACTAGAAGGTAAGATCAACATTAGCCAGTATACTATAGTAGTCTTTGATCAACATTAATGGCATTTCGTAATAAAAAAAATTCAAAGTAAGTACCTACCTAATGAAAACATTTAGTATTTTAAAAACTTTTTATTTTGTTAGTGCCACGATAACAAAATAAAAATGAGATTATAGTATCAAAATAAAAACGAAAAGTTAGATAGAGTTTAGAATAAAAACAAGAACTAAGACTTAAATAAAAGATTATCCAATTAAAACAATGCAAAAGTAGCGAACAGGCCATTTAGGCAATCGATTAGTTTTTGTATAGATCTAGAAACTATTGTTAAATGTAAGATGTTATATCAGACGAGAGATAACTAACTTGTTGACGCCGATGCAACAAATTGATCCCAATTTATGCATTTCTGTAGAGCCATAGCGAATGCGGAAATCAGATTCTAACAAAAAATCAAATCACAAACAGGTCCAATGGGTCCATCCACAATCCACAATCCTACATCTCATCATCAATTAGCCCTTGACCTCCTCCTCTATGGGACTTTGGGGCTATAGGGGTTATTCTGTGCTATGGGTCTCCTCTACAAAGGTTTGACATAATCTCTTCGCTTCGCACGCAAGATTGTAGACTGCAATTTAAAAATATCAAGTTAATCAGAGAACGCTACAGACCACTCTCTATTAAATGTGGTCCCTTTGCCGACCTGAAACTTAGGTAGTAGTCTGTATAAGGCTTAGGTTCCTATTCATGGTAGTATCACCAACGAAATTTCACTAGCAATTAAAATCCTTGAACGGTTATAAGTTAGATACAAAAAGTCTTTTATATAACTAAGCCTTTTTTGAGGTCTATGGGGCACGGTCATGTCACTATCTAGCTAGATCAATACCAAATTTTATTTAAAGAAAACACTGTCCACTCTGTGGCAGAATATTTATAAACAAAGGTGGATTTTCCAGCCACTTGAAAGCGCATGATAGACGCCAGTAGTCAAGAAACGGTCAAGCTGAAACCGGCATGGAGGGTTAGATATTATTATTCAAACTAGCTACTTCTGCACGGTTTCACACGCTCTGCTCAGCTCTTATTAGTCGTAGCGTGATGTTTTATAGCCTATAGCCATCGTCGATGAATGCGCTATCCAACACAAAAATAATTATTCAAATCAGATTTTTAGTTACGAAGATTAGCGCGTTCAAACAAACAAACTCTTCCGCTTTATATAATAGTATAAGATATGGTATTATAATATAAAACATAATAGGTTGTATTTTATTCAATATGACTAACATTTTTGCGTTCCCTAGATGGCGCTGATGTATACTAAGGGGACTTTGTGTCCAATCATTGGATAGTCAATTTTAGACAGCTAGTGATTAGACAAATAGGACCTCATGCCACATGATCTATAGGCGGTGTTGATCGCTTATCATCAAGTGATCTGTCTGCTCGTTTGCCTATTATCCCATACATTAGAGCTGGCTAAACGTTGGCCCCCTTTGCCTACTTGAGAATTTAGATTTTCTTAGTATCTTCCACTGTAATTAAAAAACGCTATGTTTATGAACGTACGCCTTAAAAAATCGCTGTTCTCATGGCCCTTGCACTTGCAACTAGTAACTGTTATAACTGAAATAAGAAGAACGAGGCGTCTGCAACATTTTGTGCAACGCTCGGTAACAAGTCGACGACAACCACTTGGTTAATCTACAATCTAGATAATATTTTTATATCTGCATTTTATTATTTTTGTACACAACACAATTATATTGTTGATCGGCCTTTCTCTTGCGTGGCGTAATGATGAAAGGACAACTTTATAATTACAATTATTATTTTATTTGTTTGCTTTGAATCAGAGATTAACACGTTCGAGGACAGAACGAGATTATACGTTATCGTTCGAGATTTTAATATCGCACAACGTACGATGACGTTCAAATAACATTTAAATTATACGGCAGAACGTTAATTTCCGATGAAAGTTCAAGTAAAATTCCTTTTGAATGTATCTTGTGTCACAACACATAAAATATCCAACACTGTACTGTCACGTAGGGCAAGTTTAGAACTATTTCAAATAAGTGCCGTTGATAGTGTGCGGTTACGGTATTTACATACGCACAACGTATTTATACGTCCCGCGCTCCTACATTCAACGCGGCTGTGTCACTGTGTATTATGTGTTTAATGCAAATTAATGATTTTACAGTGTGAAATTGATGTTTAATGGGTTATTGTATGTTTTAGACGGATATAAGCGCAAATAAGGCATAGGATAAGCATGTTTGATGATTCCGACACCTCCAACGAGGCGTATCATTACCAAGATGCATATACACGGTGACGTGATAAAACGGTTGTGTCATGATATGTTTAAAACAATATTTTTGCATGGGACACTACGTACTGATACGTCGTATAATTTTGTATAGACATTTACTGTGTCATTCTGGAAACCCGACTCAAGTGGTAGCGTCCTCGAACGTGTTAACATTCCTACTTTTATCTTCTCAACCATTATTACATAGCAATTATGAGTGATTATTAGTCGCATTGCTATTATGTAACTGCCTACTCCTTTCAGGCTTTATTGGACGTAATTGGGGTCTTAACAACAACAACCTCTTATTTTCTCAGGTTTAGGCAGATCTATTTAATTTATACCTTTTTATCAGTTACGTATGTTATGAGTGAAGCAAGTAATAACAATAAAAACATTTTATATTGGTAAAATCTATTTTTTATTAAAGAAAAACACAAAATACTCGACCAACACGACACAGGTTTAGTATAAAATTAAGGCAAATAATTATTGCATTATCTATCACTAGAACAATTAAAATTGTACAATAATGTAATGGATAACTTAGCAGGGGTGAACAAACTACTTATTTTGTATTTATAAAATTTTACAAATATTGTATCAAATATAACAACTAAGGACTCTAATTTACTAAGACACCGCCATCGTCCGATCAGTCGCACAGCCATGTTGTCAACAGAGAGTCGATAGAACAAACTCTATTTGGTTGCCGACAACCAAGTTGGATAACTAAGATAATACCAGGTGAGATACATACATTTTAATTTTAATAGTCGTACGACCGTGGTGTCCTGATGAAATAGAGCTTCAAATTCCCTAACTACATATGTTTATCATCATTCAGAGACATGATACATACGGTTACAATTCACACCTAGTTTAATAGACAGTTTAAAATAATTGTATAATAAAATTTTCTAGTTTTGTTATTGAAGTTTCCAAATGAGCCTGGAATTACTATTGGATAAAAAATCTTCGGCAAGTTTCGACAATCTAAGTTTCTTTGTATTATTACTGTCGGAAGACATGTTAATTTACTTATGTAACTGTTTGACGAGGTTACTCTACTAGTTTCAAGCCAAACCGAGGCCCATAATTGGAACTTTAATTAGAATATTTGGCTGCATACAAAATCTGTCAAATCTACAGATAAATAAACAATTGGAACTGGCTGTACGTCGTTCTTAGTTTAACTCTAAACAGAAATTTGAAGAAAGTTGTTAGTATTCAGCAGTCGCTATTTCCTCCACTACACCGGAGCAGTCAAAAACAACATAATTTTATGATAAATCACATCTATTAAATTTAAATTCGCAATCATTTATATTTGTTATCGCTAAGTATATTCGAAATGGATAGTATTGAAAAATGGAGTGAATAGAAACAAATTAATCAAATAATTATTCAATATAATATTTCTCAATGCAGCCTGCTAATAATTTATTTAAACATAAATAAATATAGAAGACTCGTGTCTGAAGATACTAGATTTTTTTTAAATATTTTGTTCCTATGCATCCCATTTTTAGTCAATGAATGAACAAATAAATACATACAGTTATGCTATTCTGTAAGGTGTCCATTCGCTCTCTCAGTGAGCTCGATCGCATTCTTGCCCGTCATTGGTCGATTATTCTCACAACCAATGACATGACGGACCACGATCGACCTCACTTCGAGAGTTCGAATTGACATCGTACGAAATAGCATAGCTGAAATCATGTAATTTGCATTTAACTTATTCACCTTTAGGCACAAACATAAAATAACAACTTAAACACCAATCAAAATTAACAAGTAACATATACAAAAAATGGAGAAAGAAAATTATATCAGATGACTTCCATACATCATCATCATCACACAGCAATAATTATAATGAAAATTAAATTAACAATTATATGGTGCTTGTGCAAGTTTTCCATATTATAAGATATTAGGCCAGTAGTTTACAAATCGAAGATAATAAAAAATCTAATATAAATCAGAAAAACGTTGAACATTTTAATATATTTTTAATTCACATTTAGATGATTCCTGCTCAATTTTTATGACTGTTACCTGACTAGACTTATTTTAGGCACTTGAGACATTTTTAAAACATCGTTTTGAACTGGTTGTAAGAAAACTAAAGCTACACACACAATTTTTATTTACAGTGAACATTTTTCACCCTTATTTCCTTAGAGATAAGGACGAGAACACAATAACTGCTAGTTGTTGTTCATATATAACGATTTTGTTACAATAATAAGTATCTAGCCAACCATACGAACTTGCAAATATGTTTTTTAACCTGGATGGAAGCGCTATGTCACTTAAAATATGATCTATAAACCAACATTCCTAAAGCAATATTTTTTAAGGCCGCCTTAACATGGTTGCTTCGCAAAGAGCTAAACAACAGAGAACTTCCTCCGTAAGCAGTGGCGTAACTACAGGGTGGTGGCATGTCTGGAAAATGCCAGAGGCTCTGGACGAAAGGGGCCCCCGTTCAAAGGTCCATACCTGAACTTCTCTGTTTAATAGACAAAGGGGGTCCATCTGTATAGTTACGCAACTGTCTCTTAGTTAACTTCTTCGCTGTCGTTAAAACATATTTGGGGCCTGTTGTACCACCTTCATATAAGTACCTGATAAACTTATGTGACAGATTGTTCATACAAATTACTTTCTATGTTTCAGCCAAAATTATTAACCAACCTCAATGCAAAATCAGTAAAATTATTATGTTTTTCAGCTTACTCAAGTAACTGTATGATGAGGAAATCGACTTGTTTCTTAAAGGCCTCTAATATGGCTTGAAACTTACTTGAGTAAACCTAAAACATAATGATCGATTTTTGGTATTCTAGTTACCATGGCCATTGAGTGAAAACAAATATCGATTCTTCGATTTTTAATTGAAATTGGTTACTCATTTCCAGGGTTTATCAGGTCCTAAGCGACTATCCAGACATTGTGTATCAGGCCCTTAATCAGAAGTATTGTGTTGCGTATATAGTATGTTTCATGAAAATATACCCAATGATATGATAATCTCCGGAAAGCCGATCGTTCATGTATTGATAGCAACACATAGGCTCTTTATTTCCAGTGGATGGGGCTGCTTGATTTAAAATAAATTCATTAAGAAAACAAAATACTACCTTATTAATACTTGCATATTGTTGTATCATACACATTTGATACTTTACTGTGTACTTTTAAAATATAAAATAATTTTATGAATCGTAGCAAAAGTAAGATATTTTTGGATCTGGCAAAGGGACTGAACATTTTGCCTGTCCACAGTTATGATGAAAACTCGAATATATGTAGCTTTCGAACGTTCAAAGTTAAATGCTTTTTTATAGTAATGTCTATCAAACAAATGATAAACAGCATGATTGATATATTAATTTATTGAAACCATATTATATATTCTACATACACTTTTCTTACTAAACTTAATACTGGCAATTTCTTGATCTAGATTACATAGTAACAAAACGTGGCAGCCCTAACAAATGTGTATGATACTAACAATAACATAAGAATGTTCCAAAATGTATTGATTCTATAAAACAACGTAGAAAAGTCCAAAACACTAGAATTTATATACACAAATTGTTTATGCGTCGCTTGGTATCGGTTTCACTTCGTTTACGTGCGAAACTTCTTCATTAGACGATTCTACGATTGTTACGTCAGCGTCCCCGCATCCGATCACCGTGGCTACCTCTTGTACTTCATTTAAAAACTTAGATAACACTTCGTTTACGTCATTAATGTTGGTTTCTATGACTGTTTCTACTTCTACATTTGTGACTCCCGTACTATCACTTGAAGGCTCCTTTACCGGTGACGCCGCTGGACTTTCATTCGAAGTCGTTTCTTTCGCTTCCGCTGTCTCGATTTTGATTGGACTGTCATTCGACTTCGATTCTTTCGCGTCTACTGACTGGGTTTTGATTGGACTTTCATTCGAAGCCGTTTCTTTCACTTCCGCTCTCTGTGTTTTGATTGGACTTTCATTTACCTTCATTTCTTTCGCTTCCACTGTCTGGGTTTTGAGAGGACTTTCATTCGAAGCTGTTTCTTTCGCTTCCGCTATTTGGGTTTTGATTGGACTTTCATTCGACGTTATTTCTTTCGCTTCCGGTGTCTGGGTCTTGAATGGACTTTCATTCGACGTCATTACTTTCGCTTCCGCTGTCTGGGTTTTCATTGGACTTTCATTCGACGTCGATTCTTTTGGTTCCACTGACTGGGTTTCGTTTTCTTTAATCACAACTTTTTCCGAATTCCCTTCTGAATTTTCTTGAGGTGTTACCTCTAAAATTTCATCGTTTACAACTTCCAAGTCACAAAGGTTGATATTAGCATTGTTTATCGCCTGTATTAGATTCTCTAGTGTTTTTTCATCAACCTTGTCACTATCAATTTCAGTTATATCTTCATTGGCACTAGGTTGAATTTCTTCTACGTTTTCAACTTCTACTGTAGCGGTTGCTTCATTACTTTCAACCTCCTCATTACTCTCTGTTTCTTTAGCTGCTTCTGCTGCCTTTTCAGCTTCGGCTTTAGCTTTCTCTGCTTTATTCTTCTTAGATTTGGATTTCTTTTGTTTTTCTGTTTTCTCTACTTTTTCAGGTGCGGGCGATTCTTCGGTTGGTTTGTTTGTCAATGTGTTTAATTGACTTTGTAGATGTGCGAGACTCTGGCGCAGTTGGGCACAGTTGGCGGCCATCGCATCAACCTGAGGAGTTAAACATCTCTATTAGTTATTACTTTGTACTCACGATAATTCTATCTACATACTCCATCAATTGTTCTAAACATTGTGACATAGTTTATATTTATAAAAGGTGATATTAAAATTATTACAAGTACCTTAGCATTAGACGCAGGTTGTTGCGCGAGCGGTGCGGGCGGCGGCGGGGCCGGCGTGGGCGGCAGCGCGGGCAGCGCCGGCCGCTCTATGTTGTTGTCCTTCAAGGTGCTCAGTAATACTGTACGCTCCGCCTGGGATAAACAAAATACATTATTTGCATGTTTTTGTAAAGAATTGCAACCCATTTTTTTATATGAATCAATGAATCATTAGTACTAATTAGGTAGGACCAATATGCGAACCTTGTGGAACACCTTTAATTTTTTAAGTTTTAAATGAAGTTACTAGTATTTATGTAATTTATTTCACTTTCATCTATTGTAAAACCGAATTAAAACATTATAAATACATTTTGTAAACAATAAAAATGTCAAAAGAATGAAGTATAAAAGAATTGATTCTACTAATATAATTGTAAGGCAGTAGCAAATGCCTGATAGAAGTTCTGTAATAGTGTTTATTATACCTGTAAAGTGCGGCAGAGACTCTGCATGTGGTGTAGTTGCCTGGCAGACGCGGTGGCGCGCTCGGTGGCGGCCTGTCTCTCCGCACACATGTCCAGTAAGGCTGTCTGCGATGTCTCCCAACGTGTCTTCCACGACAGAGACTCCTTCTCCAACCTTTTGATCTTCTTTGCCATCTGAACATGACAAATTGTGGAGTGAAGGTTGTGATTAAATAGGACCTTTCGTTAGGACCTCGATTACTACGACTTTTTGTATATTGGATACTTGGAATTTTATGTCTAGTCACTTTATTATGTTTTCGGCTTACTCATGTAAGTGTCTGATGAGGAACCTGAATAGTTATGTTGTTTTCTTTAGTCTTACCATATCCATTTGTTCTTTGAAGCTGGTGAACATCTTATTGCTTTTCACCAACGCATTCTGGAACTCGTCATATTTATCCGTGTACACCGCTAACTGACTGCGCAAACCTGGAAATGACAACAAATATCGTTGGTTGATTCAACCAGCAACTGCTAAACAAACAATCTAAGGATTTATATCTATCTTGGCCAGAGTATTACGACTCGCACTTACATCACTTATAAAGTATAAGAAGAGAAAACAGGGTGTTTTAGATTTCTTTTGAGTATTTAAGTTTTCTGAAAACAAATTGGATTATGCGTCTATCATTTTCTTCTTTTGGCAGAATAATATGGCAATAAGCAAGTAGGTAGAACACAGTGTAACACTACTCCTATATTCCTAAACAAATATTATTTTTGACTTTAAATCTTTAAAAGCTGATGACTTACTAGTCTCAGTTCCCTGTAGCTCCATGATCTTGGCTCTATATTGCGCGAGCGTGACCTTGACCTGCTCCATCTCAGCCAGCAGTCTCTCCTTGTCTGCTTGATGCTCTAAGCTCGCCTTTTGCATCTTGGCGTCGGATAGTTGGGATTCTAATGCCATTTGTTTCGCCATTTTATCCACCTGGAATATACAAGAAAAATAGTATCAAGTCCTTACAATTTATAAACATATGCTTTTTCGTGCGCCTCTGTGTATTATATATTTAAGAAGAATCTTATCCGTAAAAGTTTCACGCACAGCAGGCAGGAAGGAGATTGGGCTATCTATGAATTTTAAGCCTTGGTAATGTAAGTACCTACATATTTTGGTAACACCCATAATTTTACTAGGTCAAAGCTTCTGACGCTACGGTTGGCGCGGTAGCTTGACGACTGTCTCCCGCGCAACGTATCGCGGGTTCAATTCCTGCACGGAACGACTCTTTGCGTAATCCACATTTTGTTGTTCTGGGTTTGGGTGTCATGTGTATGTGAACTTGTATTTTTGTAAACACACCCATATAACAGGAGAAAATCCTAATATGGGGCAACATTAAAAAAAAAAGGAATGTCAAATACTCATAATATCACTAGGGAAACAAAACCACACCTGTTGTTCCCTAAGCTGGTACTGCTGCACCACAGACTTGAATTTCTCGCTCATACTGATATTATCATCCCGGAGTTTGGCATTCTTCTCATTGTTCTGCTGCAGCATGGCCGTGATCTCTGACAGAGTGTTCTGGAACTTGGCCTGTGTCTCCTTGCGACGTTCCTCCTCTTCACGGATTTTCAGTAGAGATTCTTCCTGTAAAATATATTATTCATGTCAATATGAATGTAAGCGTTTGACTTTAGTATTTAGAAAATGTACCATAAAGACAATATTATGCTAATTTGATTCACTTTAAACACTTTTACTTGGTAAAATATTTTCTGAAATAAATAACATGTCAGTTTGGTTATATCTTTCTGCATGCAAATAAAGCAGTCTATAATACGATCCAAAAGTGTACAGCATTTCAAAAACTCAGTACTTTTAACAATAAACTTCCTGTTACATAAATCCGATTATGGAATATTATTTCTTATTTCCAATATTTAAAACATACAATAGAAGGTGACATAATATTATTCTCATTGCACAATCAGAGATTTAGTTAAGATATGCAACAAGCGAAGTTAACAAAGGACAGTTAGTTAGCTATTGTAATACTTTCAGCTAAATGGTTTCAGTGCCATATAAATATTAAATGAGTATTATTTCGACGCAAGAGTATCTATGCATCTTTTCATTGCGGCCAAGTTAACATTATATGTTTATTTAAGTGCTTGCATTTAACATTATGCCGATGTAATACATAAAACGAAAAAACTGCAAGTGCTCATGAAATTTTAATTGTAATATCAATTAATTTTACTCTTCTGGTTAAAGGAATATCTTATAAGACAACCTAAAACTAACTAGAACACATTAGAAAATTATGCAATAACAAACCTTAATAGCTTTATTCTGTTTCTGTAATTCCCTGCAGAGATTTTCCAACTTAGATTTGACGAGAATTGTCTTATTGAACTCAAGTTGTAACTGTTCTTTCTCCTTTAACAACATTGCGTGGCGCTTGTCCGACTGCTTGATGTAAAACTGCATCTTTTTATTGTCATCCGCAGTCTGAACATATTTCTTACACACTAGAGACAGTTTCTCCTCAAGCGTTGGTACGGAGTTCAACGATTTCATAAACTGCTCAACATTTTTATCATCTCGTCTGCTACGGTCATCTCGTTTCCCTTTTTTTACTTCAAGCGGCGGTGTCGGTGTTGATTCCTGGAATTTTTAGATGCTTATAAGTATTTTTTTTTAGTTATGACCTCATAACTATTCTAGTTTTGATTTTTATGTGCAATGCACAATAAAATTAGGTAGTTGTAAAAATATTTGTGAATCATTCTAGTCATAATAATATATTTTTACAGCCTAAATTATCACTCATAAAATGCGTATAGCATCATTATACTACTAGTAATCATACTCAAATTTACAGGTGTGAACTATTTATAGATATCCCCATCCAAGGAATAATTTGACCTAAATGTGGCCATTGTGTGTAATAAGACCCTTTAGTTTAAATGTCAAAATACGAAATCTGACTCTGACAGATTCATTATTTTTGCGGTATAGCCTATAGCTACTTCAATGTTTATGATACCTACTTTTAGAGTGGATTTTAAAATATTTCTATAAAACATAGGGTATCAGAAAATACAGGTGTTCGCTAATAATTGAACATCGCCCTACCATTAACCATAAAAGCAGAAAGCATGTGAAACGTGCTTCCGAACAAAAATATCAAAAACATTACGGGAATATTGGCAGTTTGCCAACAAACTTTCAGGTTAACATTTCTCCTCTTTTCGGCTTAAGTTTAAGCCATATGAAGTTCTTAACTACGAATACTTGTAGTTAAATACATGACCAGCACAAAAGCAATTGCAAACTTCAAGTGAAATACCGGCAAATTGGATGTTAGGTGAATCAATCGTTTACCGACATTCGATAGCGTTCTATTTATAAACCTATTGAATTTTACAATCGTTTAAACTTACAGTAGCGGTATTGTTAGATTGCACATTTTCTGTGCTTTCTTTTTGAGTATCTTCCGTTGCTGCTTCCATTTTAAAACAATTTATCTTCCTCTAAATTTTTCTAAACAAAACGGAACAAGACGTTTCTGTTAGGGTTGTCCACTTAGCAAAACTGATGAAAATATAACGAGATATCGAGATTTCGATTAGTTACTATTCGTATCCAATACTATGAACTTAAATCGATTGCAATCATGACAGTTATTTAAACAATATGAAAAACGGATCACTTTTAAGAGAATTTCTAAACAATAAAAAGTATTTTGAGTAATAAAATAATCTCTAAACAAATGAATTTAATTTCAGACAGCAAATTGTAACTAATTTTCAGATGTGAAGCAACTACAATAAATAGACTGAAGACGCATCACAATCGATCAAATAAAAAACACTCTCCCAGGACACTGTAAACATAGCAACACTGTTTACGCGTTCAGAAATAATAAATTACCCATATTACATTATCTTATTTTCAGAAAAATGAGATCTTAGAAATGTCATGTTTATTTCTAATTTAAACTAATTTTGAAATGTCGTTATTATAAATATTTTCAAATTTCTTAAAGGTTTTCAACGTTTAATCCGGTACTAACTAGAAATGTTCGGTTTTACAGGGTTGCTACACTTGTCGTCTTCTACTATTTCAGAAATAATTGTTTCTGTGAATATGTAATAAAAATTTTAATTGCTTTTGGTAACTATTTTATTAATGCAGTAATTTAATTATAGGGTTGGTTGAGTAAACTAATGATAGCTTGTTCATAATCATTCCTATCAAAATATATAATATATCAATAATATTCACAATCATATTATGATTGTGAAGTTAAGTGACGTTCGCCGCATCGTCGTCATCGTGCATATGGCATGTTACTTATTTTTAACATAAATAACTATTATTCTATGCCGTCTGGGTGGATAACGTCTCTTGCACATCTCGAGTTTGACACGGGAGAATCACAAATTGATATTGTGTTGTGTGGTGAAGAATTTGTTTGTACGTCAAACGTAGAATAGGCTAGTGTAGAACAAAGAAGGGTTTTAATTTCTTTTATTTATCTATAAATCTTCAACTTTTTTATTTTTAAAATTAATAGTAGGTTTTAGTAGCAAATGGTAGTTTTTCAATTCCTAGAAGTGCAAGACTTTATGTATCTGTCTCTTTCATACGCATTCCGTCAAAAAGAAGAGAAGCGACCAGTCGGTGAGTAATCATTTCTCTGATAAAAATTATTAATAAGCGGTCGTTTTCGTATTAGTTTTTCGTAACAGACTTGAAATATACTAAGTGAAATATTTGAGTGTGGAATTGCATCGGTAAGTTCGTTGATTTTACTAATTAAACGTAAAAAAAAGATGACACCGGCTGCTAGACATTGGACGCGAGCCGTTATTTTTCAAGATTTTTGTAAAGGTCAATGCGCTTTGATGCCGCAGGACGAGATATCCATGTCTCTGGGCATGGGCGTGTAGATTATACGGCATATTTGCATATAGAATGGCGTAAAAATCGGATTTTACCGGATTCAAACACGCTAACGCACGGGGCGTAGGAACAAAAGAATCAACCGTTATATTTTGTTTGCCGCATGAATGGAGTGATCGCACTACATGTACGATAGATTCATTATATTTACAGTTACACATCTAAAATAACATATAATTGCCTGGATTTAATGTGTTCTCGTGGTCTTCTTTTTTTTCTTTCTGTTGGAAGTAGGTGCATTATATTTTGTGCCGTTATGGACATGGATTGAGTGAGCGAACGTCGGTTTTGTACATTTTTCCTTGTCTGGAATGTGGCTAGCAGTTGCAGTCTAAAAATAACATATTTCGTTGTTACCTGTGGAGGCTTTTGTTATCTTTTTGGTTAGGCTCTCAGTCTTTGTGTTAAACTTACAATTCACATTTTGTCAGTTACGATTTTGTTACTATATCTAAGTAGGTCCTTATTTGATTCTACTGTTTTGTTGTTATCTATGAAGTTGTTGATCACTTTTAAAACAATGAGTCTCATTGGTCCATTTTTTTAACATTCATCTTATCTGATTGGTCCATTTGTTTTTCATTAATTTCGTAACACTGTGGTCTCTAATTTTATTAAAAATTTTCAATGTGCACATGGCCATCATGGCATATTCTTCTATCTGTATTTCATACCAATAGTCATCTCATATTAAGATAAAGTAATATCTCATGAAATATGGTACTATAATAAACTAATATTGTCCGTTTCGATGTAATTATTTCCTCTGTGAACTAAACATAGAGTCAACAACCTCTGATTTATCACAGTTTATCAGTAACTACATTCTGATGACCCTTTTGATTGGCACATGGAAGTAACATACATACTACATAAAAATAACAATAACTAATGAAATAGGCTTTAAAACAGTATTTACATAGGTGAAATTTGTAACAATTGATCATTCTCGAATGGAAAGGTACAGAAATATTATTTATGTAATTAAATTTGTGGTGTTTACACATCGAATTGTCTAGTGTTTTATTTCCAGTCAGTTCGCTACTCATAATCTTTGCATAATATCATCCATTATTTTATTTTATCTAATATTTGTATTACCTTTAAAACTTGTGATGATGAACGGCGAGGATGGCTGCTAGCTTTGTTTTTGTATTGTCCTATTCTTCTTAAAATGTAAGATTTTATCGTTCTCTTGAAGTCTTGTTGTTACTGTTCACCATAATTGCAAATAGAAAGATTTAGTTCCCCTAGAGGAAATATTGAATTGACAAACCTCGAAGCACCTAATTATGGAACAACATTTGTTGTACAGCAGGATATATTTAGAATAATTAAATATTTATACTGTAATTCTGCAAACTTCCCTAATTTTGTCATTTTGTTGTTAACTATGATGTGTATGGAGATGGGGTAAAAACTAAATTGAACATGATCCTCACTTGTCACTTCATTTGCATGAAAATCATCATGATTGTTTGTAATACTGAAGAATGTAGACTATCTTTGTGGCCATTTTATCCAAATCCCGTCTGTCGTTTTGATGTGGTAGTGGACTACATTAACCCGTTGAAATCATCCTCTTAATTTGTTCATACAAAAGTAGTCTCTATACATTAGAAATAACGTCTATTAAGTAGTTAGGGGAGAGCGGTCACTGGTGACTGCTTGGGAATATATGGGTCTAACATACATAAGAAATTGTTGTCCAACAGTACTGAAGGTATTTAGAACGAACTTAAGTAATTTTTAACAGTAGCTCATTGTTTTCGTACTTGAAACTCAAAGAAACATATTCTTAGTGATAAAACTCATTCATAAATTAGTCCATTATTTTCGAATACAAAGACACTTGTTATACGTCTTGTCGTGTGTCAGACCACAAAGGCGGCCACAAGACCGCAGACCATTCCTGGAGGCTCCCTCCGAGCGTCATTGCTCCATATTAGCATGTACAAAGCTATTATAGCACCTACTTCCTCCGTGCGTGTAACCACATTCCGATCTAATGAACCTTCCTTTATGCTTCGTGATGTCGATTTATTAATTACATTTGCCCTCTTTTCGACCTAAGTACATTAGCCTTCCGAACAAAGATGCTGACCAGGTATTTCGGTAGTGATAAATAACTTAGCACTAATTAGATTTCCTTTATCTTCGTCCTATACTTTTTGGCGTATTGCCAAGACCCGATACGCTTGGAGGCACTAATCGGGATTTCGTTGGCAAGCTAACTTGTTGTTACCTTTTGCTATCCTGTTTTTGGGTTCAAAGCTACGTAATAACTTATCTCTGCAGAAATTGGCCGTCGAAGAGATTATTTTGCTACAACGTTGTAATTTCAAAGCAAAAAGTTGTGTTAGAGTGATTAGTTGTTTATTCAACAAAAAACTTTCTTATTGAGTATTGAATCGGAACTAACGAAGCGCTTGTCTAGTAGGATTCTCGTGGGCACTTATATTCCCTTGATGGGGAAGCTAGATATTGCCAGTTGATTGTCAATCAGCAATAGTGAAAGGTGGCTCATGTATTGCGTTCATAGAATCGTCAGTTTCTCTCGGTACGGAATCGAGGATAATAACATCACAAATGTCTTTAACTTTGTAGCTAAAAATCGGTATGTAACAGAGCCGTATCCAGATCCCTGCAATAAGACAATTCTAGAAATATATTTGAAGAAGCACTGAAAAACTTTTTCATTACTACAGTAGCGTAAAATAAAGCTCGGAACTTTTTAATTAAGTTTTTGTAGGTCTGAGTTATAATACAAAAATTCGGTAACTATTAGTCCTTAAATCTCTTCTGGGTGTTGGTCTTCTTTCTACTCGCTTATTGCTTGACACACTTCCATGTCCATCAACATCATCTTGATCCGTAGCGTGGTTATGGTTCATAAAACATTTTTTTCTAAGATTCTCTGATCTTGACATGGTTAAAGCTAAGTTGGTTTTGCACAGAATTTCCTGAATATTCTTCCTCTTATAGATTCCTTTTCTGGTCAATGGACATCCGATGAGATCGCCATAATAGAGAAGTAACAAGATCGATTACTCTAGCTAAAATCTAGATACAAGAAATAATGAAATTCTCGTTAACTATGCAGAAATCTGTAGAATTTGTAACCGTGATGAAATGTACAGTTTCACTCGAGTAGGACCAACACCGAGTAGATAGCATTGCTTCCGAGGTTCGTTAAGTAACCGGGTTACCCTCGACTGATTACAACTTTGCTTCGATAACGAAGATATTCCCGTGTTAACATTTTATTATAAATAAACTCATTGTACAGCATAACGTTTGGAACATGTGCGTTTGAAGGACTGGAAATTATTAAACGAGGCGTTCTCTCATATAATGTTTGATTGTTTCGTTTGTTAGTTTGTGTATTTTAGGTAATTGCGGCAAATAGGTCAATCGGATTTGTGGTAATTTTAATCGCTAAGCGTACCTCGACCTCACGAGTTTGGTCACGTAATTATTGTTTGGATTATGGGATTACTTATATGGCATAGATCGGTGTTTACGACAACGTAACAAAAATGCTGGCTAAATTGGGAGATTGAGACAGCATTTTGGCACCAGTCTGGATCCGTGTCTGCCTCTAGCTATGTAGGTGGGTCTTTGAATTTATTTGGTATCGAAAAGCCAATACTAGAGACCTAAATTCACTTGGATGTACGTGGGCTGCGCAAACAGGCAAAACATGTCCAAGTTTGTAATAAAATCAAATTATGAGGCCCTCGAACTTTATTGGCGAACCGTTTCTCTTTCGTGGTCACTTCAACGACCCAATTCGGTCCGGCCGACCTTCCCTATAAGGTCTAAATTCAATTATTCATTTAAATTCGTTTCATTTGTCTGTCTGCCAGACAT